TCTTGTCTTCAAACTCAATGCTTGAATGTTAAATGGGAATGTTTTTTAAGTATATGAATCAAACTCAAGGAGTATATACCCCCATTATAATGGACATGTTAAATTATGTTAAATTATAATAGTATCACCCCAGAGGGTAATCAGGATTGCGAAAGATTACAATATTCAAATATATTCAACATATTCAAAACTAAGCCAGAAAGGAAGACGAGTCTGCCAGTTGCTTAGTTGCTGCCGGAAATTCATCGAGTCCTGGCTCCTTTCAGAGACGAGGATCGAAAGCCGGGTGACTTCGGTCTCCGTGGTTTCTATCCGGCTGATGCCAAGGGGCAGTATGACATGCAGGTCCGGGCTATGGCGGGTGAAGTCTGATGTTTACCCCATCTGCGAGAAAACCACAGCCCCAAATTGTTCCCAGTCATTTAAGAGGTTTCATTTTTAATTTCTGATCATGGTTGTTTTTTTTTAAAAAAGATTCTATCTCGGCTGAAGGGAAGATTGTTGACCCTCATTTTGGGGTGGTTCCATGGGTCACCAGGGCCATCTATCAACTCGCTGGGGAAACTTTTCACCCAATGAGAACTAGCGATTGCCATGCTGGATCTGGAAATGGATAGAAACTGAGGCGATTTTCATAGGATTTTCATGGGGGAAATGGTGATCTTGCGATTTGGCTGGTGAAACTGAAGGACAATAAGGACAAATACCTCCCAGTGAAACAGCCACCACTCAATCATTTGGCAAAACAAACTATACTCAGCTTCCTCATATCATAATGATATTCAATATTTGCTTGGTCATATACCCATGGCGGTTGCTAAAAAGACCAATTAAAAATAGTACCCCCGCAGAAGATGCTTTTAAGAGTTTTCCAAGATGTTAGTTTGATGATGTTGCCACGGACTTTCCAGGTATCCAACTTTTCTGCGGATTGCCCTATCACTACTATCTAGTAAACCCATCACTAAAAAACACAATGTATTACATTGTATTCCATGATATATTTCATGCTATCCCCATTCTACCACCGGTTTTGTTGGTTCCATCAGATTTTTCTGGGCTATCGTTCCGAAGCAACAAAAATCGACACGCCACGGACGAGGTGAAGGAACTTCGCAACGGCCGACTGGCCATGCTGGCCTTTTCAGGCGGATTGATACCCTCTGGTCACCAGTCCTCTGGTTATTTAACATTGCAGTGGTATAGATGGACGATAGAAATAGATGATAAATGAATATACATGATGATTTACCTGTGAAGCAAATGATGATTGTCCTGTTCGCGTCACGTGGAAAATAACCCTGGAGGGTAAATCTTGTATGTTACCATTGTATCAATGACATGTATGTATATCATATATTACAAGATGTTGGTACCATCATCCATGTTTTGATGTTTTTGTACTAGTATATAACATAGTGTTGTCATTTGAGCATGTACAATCAGTAAGGCGTAAGGGCAACACTCATTGCTTGGCATTTCGTCAATAACAGACAACACCATTTTTCAAGATTCGTGTTTGAAGGCAGCACGAGGCTTTTGCCGCCCATTTGCGACACGAGTTTCTGTTCAGGCATTGCCACCGTGGGTGTGCTCACACAGGAGTGATCGGGAATTCGTTTCTGAAAATGAGGACTCCTTGAATTCATGGACTAAGGGCTTGCAGCCCTTTTGATGTGTGGGTCGAAACCGTGACCCCAAAGTTGGGTGGCTATCCTGTGCACCTCAACCCATTGAAGTAAAGCTCAGGCTTCAAATTCAGTGGGTCGCCGCAGGAGAAGTGGCCCTTCTTTGATGCAGTGGTCAATGCTGTGCCTGCTGAGCGCAAGGCCACAGTCACGGCGATGGCCATGGCAATTGGATGTGGGAATCATCAATTTACCGGGAATCAAACATGGACAGTTCGCTGGCAATCATAGCTGGCAGATTCCCAGGTTTACCACGGGCTACGGAAAAATTGGTTAAGATCTTTAAGATCTATTAGAAACCGGGGATGCAACCAGTGACCTGCCCAGTTAGTAAGTGGTCAAAAGCCACATGCCATTGTCTCTTTGTTCTGGAGGGGAGCAGTCTTGAGAAACCGCAACAAGGGTTGGATGACTACGCCACGCAGTCATATTCATGTCCCAAACTGTTGCCAAATATCAAGATTGACGTTAGAATCACTGGCATTGACCAACTCAGCCTATTAGAAATCGAGTCAGAAGATGTTTCGCACTTGGATTTGACAGTTGCATGGAGGCATGACTTGAACGTCCAACAAAAAACATGTGTTAGAATGTAAGGTTTTAAAAAATCTGGGCACAGCTCCTTTGCTACAGGTCCGCAATTTGGTATTCAGCAGATCCCTGGAAAAATAAATGCAAACCGTGGCAAAAACCAACTTTTTTTGGTGCAGGGTTCAGATATGTTTAGGTACTATTTTTAGTCATATGGCAAGGTGTGCAATGATGAATCCCTAGCGGATATGGATTGGTCCCCCATAGCCTCACTCAATTCCCAGCAACGCCCCAGTTATGAGAGGTGTTTTAATCCAAGTGGATCACCATCTGGGCATCTTGGCGAGTTTTTTCCAGATGAACTCTTGTAGGTTATACACTCAGTTTGGTGGTTTGATTTCCCAAGTTCCTATCATTGTACTATTTGGTGATTCACCCCACTTTCGGCGCCGGCGAAGCCAGCTCTTAGCCTATAACCATAAAACCACGGTGGGCATGTCTGAGAATAGGCGAACAACGGACATAATTCGTGGTTTAAAACCTCATTTTTTTCGTGGTTTTCAATGGACATCATTTTTGGAGTTCATCCCACGTCTTCGGACAAACCCAGATCATCTTGTTGTTTATATATCCCGTTACATTGTTATCCCCATGTATACACATATATCATATAATATGTATATATATATATATATACACACACATGTATGTTAAATATATATCATATATATATCATATATATATACATGTTATATATATATATATGTTATATATATATATATATGTTAAATATATATAATGTATATATATATATATATTATATGATATATGTATCACCATTAATTCACATCCCATTAGATCCCCCTAAAGACTGGGTGGACCGCAGGCGTCCTCTGCCTCTTCCTTTTGCGGATCCATGGTCTCGCGTTCTCGCGGATCCACCATGGTCTCGCTGGCGTAAATTATAACGACCTCACTGCGACCTCACTGGGAATAATGGTTAATTAAGGGGAATCATCCCCAAATGGCCTTAATTCAGGGTAGTGAAATATGAAATTTACCCAGATATATCTATACCTTTATGTATATATATATATCTACTGTATCTCCGGAAAAATGTTCATCCCCATTGAAATAGTGAAAATGTACTTTTCTATCTTTTTGTGGGTTACTATATATATATACATAATATATATATATATATAATATCTAGTTCTTAATTTCATCCCTCCTTGGGATGATGATCCCGAGCACTTTTTTGTCTGGTTGGAACCAAGCATGGAGGTGTCACATGCCTTCGGTGGCCTCTGGCATCTTCGTACAGAGTTGTAGTGGCAGCTGAGTTAATCGAGTTGTTGCATTAGTCACTCTATGTCACTCTTCCTTGGTTCAAAGGGAAAAAAGTCAGGACTCGGACACCCTAGGTGTTCTCATCAGTGTTTGTTGGCACTTTTGTTCCCTCAAATGGCAGGCCCGTCAAGCAGCCACCAGCAAGAGCATGCCCTTCCTGTGAGGGATCCCAAGGTGAAATAGGATACCACGAGAAATCTGAAAGCTGGCTGGTCAAAATGGCTATAGTAAGTACATTGCACTGTATAATCCTTGAATGTCCAATTTTCGATCTTGCCAAGATTCGCGAAAAGTTGATGCGGAAACCGAAGACATTGGATGGTCAATGACCATTCGTCGATGGTCAAAGGCTTTGGTTTGACAAACGGAGGGTTGAAGATCCATAAACAGCAGCATCAGCAGCATCAGCTGGTGATGTTCATGTTCCATGATGGTAAAAATGAAGATCTGTTTTTGTCTATTTTTTCATATAATGTGGTTAAAACAATGTCATACACCATCCCCCAGTCATCACCATTTTTATAGGTGGTATGTTCACCATTCCCAGTCATGGGTGGCTCATGGCATTGTTTTACCCACATTATATGAATATAGATATACGAAATATGCCCCCATAAAACCATAGATAATATACTATAGATACATCCTATAGATAGTGTTTCACATTATATCCAATAATCATAGTATTATTCCAATTATTAACCAGTATTAACCATTATTAACCAATATTAACCAGTATTAACCAGTATTAACCAGTAGTTTTAACCCACATCTTCTGTTGATAACTGGGGGCCCATCCAGATCCAGATGCTCCAGCGCTCAGGCCCAAGCCGCAGAACCTGGGTGGCCTGGTGGGTGGCGAGGCCGAGTTCGATCCTCTGGGCTTCTCCGATACCTTTGATGTGACTTGATCCCATGGGGTAGGAATCTGGCTGGAATCTGGCTTGAAAAATGGCATTTCTGTGGCATGACTTGAAGTGGGGCATTTCAGTGGTCAAGTGAATCTATGGAATCTGGCTGACTTGAAAAATATGGCATTTTGAATTCTGTGGCATGACTTGAAGTGGGGCATTTTTCAGTGAGGCATTAGTGAAGCATGGTATGATTTAGGATGTTTTTGAAAGATGAGCAATGGCTCCAACTTAAAAGACAATGAGATTCTCTGGATTCGTGAGCTTAGTGTAACATGGGAGGAATATGGCAAGTGGAACCACTTGTTACACTATTTGGCAGTTACCATTCAGGTTTGGCAGGGGTATTCTCCAATTTTGAACCAAATAGACCTCTCGACGCATTTTTCTCACTGAATTTCATGTGAGCTACGGGTCAAATTCCCTGCCACCTCACAAAGATGTTGCCGCAAAAAGTGAACCATCGCTGATGGTCAGAGGTTCAGTCCTCTTTCAAGCCATCTTTCAAGCTTGAATGCATACCAGATGTTGGTCCAGCCATTTTTCGAGGCACTTTCGTACCTAGTGGGCCTTGACCCAGGTGAAGTGGCTGAGGGAGGCTGAGCTGAAACACGGGCGCGTGTGCATGTTGGCCACCATCGGCTTTGCTGCGGAGCAGTATGTGCAATTCCCAGGCGCCTGACTTCGGTGCTGTGTTTGACAAAGGGAAATCATGGGTGAGGTTGGGTTGGCCTGTCATGGTCTGGCAAGGTCTGGGAAGCTTTTGTAAACTCGTGAAACTTGTGGCTGATTGGAGTTTCCCAATGTTAAGAAACTAGCAGTTGGACCGGGATGTCTGCGAGTTTCCAATGGTTCACCCTCGCATATTCGACTCATAATGGGGGAAGTGTCGTCCATCCGAACTGATGCGTTTAAACTTGGTTTGTCTACAGCAAATTCGTAAAAAAGTGTAAAAAAACAAGCGAGAATGGTTTTGTTTCACAGGAAAAACCAGCTAAAACTGGTCCGATTTGAGAAATCTTTGATTTCTTGCAGATTTGTTGACAGGTTCCAGGTGTTTCCTCCGCTGGCCCAGGCTGTCCTGAGACGCCAGATGCTCTGCAGGTTTCCAGGGTTCAGCAGCCAGCTTGATTGATTTATTGCAGAAAATCATCGCAAAAGATTGTTTAAGGTTTGAACCTTGGATTAATTTTGCTCTTGAATATAATTCCTCCCTTATATGCACCTCATTTGCAGGCCAACACAATTCGTAGCCATTTTTTTCAAGTGCAGACCGTGCTTGAATGGTAGGGTAGTGGGTTCATTTCAAGCTCTAAATGGAGGAATATATTATTGCCCACTTTCATATCTTGTGAGCCAACCTCGGTGAACGGTAGATTCAGAGTTCTACACGTCTGGAGGAATATCAGAATATCATCCGAAAATGTGGAGGAATGTAGTATTACCCAGCTATTAGCTAACAAGCAACTAGCAAGCAACTTTTCTTTTTTTGTGGATGTATCTAAGCTTAAACCATCTCTTCAAACCAATGTTTGTTTTTTTCACCCCAATAGCAGCAAGAATTTGGTGAGTTTTCTGGCGGTCAGAAGGATCAAAGCCATCGATCACTTTGTGATGTTCCGTTTCGGGAGAAACAACGGCAGTGTGGGTCCTAAAGTTCACGAACCTTTGGGAATGTCTGCCTTTCTTTTAGGAAATCCTGAATGCCCACAGCATTTGTTTTCCTCTCCAAAAGAGAGATGATGCTCTTCCTTTCCGTCTTGTGGTACCCTCTGGCAATGTGACCTGGCACTCAAGTTTTCCCCATTTAGGTCCATGATCATCCCATCAAAATGTGGTTTTCATCATATTAGTGGATCGTTTCGCTGTGACGACCCATTTGATTATCAGAGGCTTTATCCACTTTTTCAAATGATATACATCCAATTACATCCTTATATCATCCATTCCAAGCTGGATAGAATTCAGAGATTTTTGCGAGGCCATCTACACGGCACCTGTGAACCTCACGGGCCTGTTGCTCTTTGCGGCGGGCTACATCGAAAGCACATCTTACAACGGAAAGCAGCTGGGCCACGGTTGATTTATGTTGATTTCTGGGAGTTCTACTATCGTTATTGGGGATTACAAAAAATAAGTGGGATAAAATTTGGGAAACCAACAGAAAAACCAACCAACTGTTGTATAATGAGTATTACATGGCTTTCTTGCAACTGTACAGAACTTGATAATGTGTAAGACCTTTTATCCATTTTGTTGCTGTTCCTGTGATTCTGAAGTATTGCATCCTTGGGTCTACAGTTTACCTGTTGCTTGTTGCAGGATGATCTAACAGATCCCTACTAAGTTCAGTTCAGGTAGAAGATTTTGAGACCCCAAATGATTCCGCACATCATGTTTCAAATGTTTCAACTGTTTTTTTGGTTGTTCAAATGTTGTCCTTCCATTTTCCACCACGAAAAAACATGATTTCGGTGCTCCTCGTTGCGGTGACAGGCTCACCATGCTTGACATGTTTGAGGGCGAGGGTGCCAAGAGAGCTCCTGGTGATCTGTGGGCGACTCAGATTTCTGATGAAAACGATAAGATCCTGAAAAGTTGGCTGGTTAACGTGGGTGTAACATGGTTGTGATCCAGTGAAACAGAGGATCATCCCAGGAATCAGGGACTTAGAGCTATTGGCTGGATACTATCTGCGTTCGATTCTGAAGATGACCAAGTACTCATTGGATTGTGCGCCTAAGAACCCAAGCCGGTGTCTGGATGGGTTGCTTGTCCCTGCGGTCTTGCAGATATTTTATATTTAGAAATGCATATATAATTATTTCAGACTCGATCTCTTGGTTCTTGAGTAGTTTGGGGCCTTATGTTCGGGGGAATCCAGCTCCAAACTCATCGAGCAGAACGGTCAAATGCAGAGCTTCATAGACTGTTTGTTACACAGATAACGACCGATGATGACGATGACGATGACGATGGCAATGATGAAAATGATGAAACTTATGATTGAGATGATGATGATGATGATGATGATGGTGGTGGTGGTGATGATGATGATGATGGCAGCTAATGATGGAACAATCTTATGGTGAAGGCTTGATTCTTTGGATTCATGATACAGGAAGATGCGCATGTTGATGACATCTCTCTACAAAATGGCATTGACATTCATATGAGAATGTACATTTCCATGTATGCGAATGTCCAAAAAAATGGCGTTTTCCTACTTATATACTTCAATTTATGGTATGGTTTTTGCTGGGGAAATTGTGCTAAATATGACCGGTATGGAGCTCGGGGAATTTTGGTCCGTACCGCTCCGTGCCGCTCGGCTCGCCATGGTTCCAGGAACTTTGGCAAGCGCTTCTTGCCGGGCGACAAGGCTAAGGCTGATGATCTGGCCACCAAGGACGATTGCGGATGGATGGATATGGTGCTGGGACTGGAACAGCAATGGATGGGTATCATGAATGGATATATAGTGGGATATTCATGGAATATAGCTAACCAACAATTAATGGGATGCATTGTGTATGGATATATATATACATACACATATACGTATACATAATGGGATATATCTATATATCTATATATCTATATATCTATATATCTATATATATCTATATATATATATCTATATCTATATATATATATCTATATATATATATATCTATATATATCTATATATATCTATATATATCTATATATATCTATATATATCTATATATATCTATATATATCTATATACATATATATATATATATCTATATATATATATATCTATATATATATCTATATATATCTATATATATCTATATATCTATATATCTATATATCTATCTATCTCTCTATCTATCTATATATCTATCTCTATCTCTATCTCTCTCTCTCTATCTATCTATCTATCTATCTATCTATCTATCTATCTATCTATCTATCTATCTATCTATCTATCTATCTATCTATCTATCTATATATATATGGACTATGAAAAACCACCAACTAATGTAATTGATGGGATGGGATACCCTCCGGTCTCATCAAACATGGCAGGCCGAGAAAAGTCAGGCTGCGATAGCTGGAGGTAGAAATAGCTGGGAAAATCATCGAACTAAACGGGGGAATCTTCCAGCAAAAACCATGTTTGATTCCCGGCTTTCTTAGTACAATGGGATCAAGATTTGAGAGAGGATGTCAAACAGATGTTGGTGGTTTCAAAATTTGATGTTTTTTGGCGCCAGCATTCGTTTGTCGACATTTTCGATGGCCCCATCCACCAGGAGCTGAATAACGGCCGCTTGGCCATGCTGGCCTTCTCAGGCTTGGAAAATGAACATGGGGATCCAATGCATCATCCTCCTCCTCATCCTCATCCTCATCCACATCCACTGAAATTGGGAACTTTTTAAGGGTATATTAAGGGATGGCCGATTTTTGGATGAATTCAGCTCGGTTTTGCGAAGTTTTGCGCAAGTTCCGAGTTTTTTTTTCTTGCTCTCTTTCAAGGTTTTGCCAGGATTGTTCATCGAAGTGACTTTCAGATTTTGTGACAGCCTGTTGCAACAACGGCAAGCAAACAGGTAACTCATGCACGACTGGCATCGAACGGGAACGGAACTTAGGAAACCAACTGGGAATTTTGAGATTTAAGGAACATCCCACCGGGGAATTGTAGGGAACTTCCCGGCAAAATTTGAGACACTTCTAGTGCAGCAACAATGCTGACAGCCAAAAAATACAGAGGACAACGATTGACATAGTGACAATGCTGCTTGGATATTTTCTTGCATAATCTGCATACATTTAAATAATGAATCTATACGCGCATAAAACGTTTGTTAGACTGTGTCGTGAACGGCTCCCGCTTTGGCAACCTAGTTCGGCAGCGAGAAATGTCGCATTTCTACATGATCTTCCGACTCTAACTTGGTGGTTTACCATTGCCATGAAGGGGTAGCCGGATAGATCGGATAGCCACTTCCCACGCCGCAGGGATGGTTCACCACAACCTGGTGGTCAAGGGACCTTTGTTCCCTCTCTTCCCTGAAGGATGGGAGGGACCCCAGGCTGGTGGGGATCTGAATTTTGATCCGATGGCTGATGCGGATCAGACCAGTACTCCTGCAAGTGAGTATTTTAATAGGGAAATATAGGGAACATTTTTCTGAGAAACCATCCCATTTTTTTTGGGACCAAAGCCGGTTTATTGGGGCATTCAGGACTGAAACTCGCTATCCTCAATGGCCCGAATGACAAAAGGGGGGTGTTACTGGGCCAAGCCCCAGGACTCACGATGGAGATTCCAAAAGCCCACTGCCCCAACATGGCCACCGACCCAATGGCAGTGGCAATAGATACTATGATTATTGGTTACTATGGTTACTATGGTGACTATGGTTACTATGGTTACTATGGTTACTATGGTTACTATGGTTACTATGGTTACTATGGTCAGTATGGTTACTATGGTTACTATGATTATTGGGTATAATTGATATAATGTGGAATACTATCCATAGGATATATCTATAGTATTATCTATGGTTATATGGTCTTATTTCGTATATCTATATTCATATAATGTGGGTAAAACAATGCCATTTTTACCACTGACTGGGAATGGTTAGAGTTGTTGGAGGTGCCCAAAACACAGTCGATCATCGTTGGAAAGATTTGTGACCCATGATTGTTGGACATGGAGGTTTCCAATGGGGGTAGCCCTATTTACGGAAACCCACAGATCTTCCTTGCTTTCTCCTGCATCCATCTTTGTCGTTTTTTCCCCCTCAATTTGGTTGATGACCCCAACATTTGGGTGATCAACATCAAATCTTTTGCTTGCTGAAAGCCGCAATCTGTATGGACAGATGGATGGATTTTGCAGGGTCAATCCATCATTTCTGATGGTGAATATTACACACACATATATATATATACACTGTACATATATATATATATACACATACATAACTATCTAAATCCCATAAGCCCAAATAATATCCCCAACAGTAACAACCAAAGGAAAAAATCACCAAATGTTTGTCGAAACATGTTTGAGAGCTGGCTGAGGTAAGCCTTTGATTGTCTATCCTGTCAGTTCGGCAGTTCAGGAAGTTATTTGCAGCTCTCTTTTCTCAGTTTTCAAATGCGCGCATTTGAACACACAGCAATGGCCCCGCACAAAGCTTGAATAGTGGGCATGACATCGTTGGAACAAAATAGACTTTGCTTGGAACCCTGTGCCTGGACACCTTGCTTGCAAATCTGTTCCTGGGAGCTTTGCTTGGTAACCCTTCCTTGGTAACCTGTTCTTGGGAACCTGTTCCTGGAAACCTGTTCTTGGAAACCTCGCTTGGGAACCTATTCCAGGAAGATTTGCTTGGACACCTTTCTTGGGAACCTTGCTTGGACACTGAACCTTGCCGTGAACCTGTTTCTGGAACCCTTGCTTGGGAACCTGTTCTTGGAAACCTTGCTTGGAATAGTAACCTTGCTTGGGAACCGGTTCCTGAAAACCTTGCTTAGACATCTGTTCTTGGGAACCTTGCTTGCGAACCTGTTCTTGGCAACCTTGCTTGGAAACCTGTTCTTGGAACCCTGGCTTGGCAGCCTATTCTTGGAACCCTTGCTTGGGAACATTGCTTGGGAACCTGTTCCTGAAAACCTTGCTTAGAGACTAGAGATCTGTTCTTGGTAACCTTGCTTGCAAACCTGTTCTTGGCAACCTTGCTTGGAAACCTGTTCTTGGAACCCTTGCTTGGCAACCCTGTTCTTGGAACCCTTGCTTGGCAACCTGTTCTTGGAACCCTTGCTTGGCAACCTGTTCTTGGAACGCTTGCTTGGGAACCTGTTCCTGGGAATCTGTTCTTGGTAACCTTGCTTGGGAACCCGTTCTAGGGATCCTTGCTTGGAAACCTTGTTGGGAACCCTTGCTTGCTTGGGAACCTTTGGGAACCCGTTCGTGGGAACCTTGGGAACTTTGCTTTGGAACCGTTGCTTGGAAACATGTTCCTGAAAAGCCTTGCTTAGAGATCTGTTCTTGGGAACCTTGCTACCTGTTCCTGGGAACCTGTTCTTGGTAACCTTGCTTGGGAACCTGTTCTTGGAACCTTGCTTGGAAACCTTTCTTGGGAACCTTGCTTGGGAACCTGTTTCCTGGGAACCTGTTTCCTGGGAACGTGTTTGCTGGGAACCCTGCTTGGAAACCTGTTCTTGGGAACCTTTGGGGACCTTGCTTGGGAACCTTGCTCGGTGGAACCTGGGAACTTTGGGAATCCGGATTTTTGCTGCTCCGACCTGCTCCGAAACTTGTACTATGGCTGAATACCCCTAGCTTACGCTGTTGGAGAATAAATCCCTTAAATGGATGGATTCCAGCAACTGTTAACCACCCATATTTTTCAAATAAACGTGGATTTAAGAGCCTTAAAAAATGGATGGTCAAACATTACACGTTTTTTCTTGTTCAACACACGGTGTTTCTATATTTTTATATTTGTTGACACAAACATGTGAACCAAAAAGATTGTCCAACCCGAAATCATGTTCGAGTTAAACATAATTGTATTATCTTCCTTTAACCGTTAACATAGATGTGGCTACAACCCACCATGAATATAGATCATTTTCTCAATGAGTTTTCCCATAGGTGTCACAATAGGTTTTCCCCATCTAAAACAGGTTTTTTCCATGTTTTCCCCATCTAAAACATGTTTTTTTCCATGTTTTCCCCATCTAAAACAGGTTTTTTCCCATGTTTTCCCCATCTAAAAGCAGGTTTTTTTCCATGTTTTCCCCATCTAAAACAGGTTTTTTTCCATGTTTTCCCCATCTAAAAGCATGTTTTTTTCCATGTTTTCCCCATCTAAAACAAGTTTTTTTCCATGTTTTCCCCATCTAAAACAGGTTTTTTTCCATGTTTTCCCCATCTAAAACAGGTTTTTTTCCATGTTTTCCCCATCTAAAAGCAGGTTTTTTTCCATGTTTTCCCCATCTAAAAGCAGGTTTTTTTCCATGTTTTCCCCATCTAAAACAGTTTTTTTCCATGTTTTCCCCATCTAAAACAGGCTTTTTTCCATGTTTTCCCCATCTAAAACAGGTTTTTTTCCATGTTTTCCCCATCTAAAACATGTTTTTTTCCATGTTTTCCCCATCTAAAACAGGTTTTTTTCCATGTTTTCCCCATCTAAAAGCAGGTTTTTTTCCATGTTTTCCCCATCTAAAAGCATGTTTTTTTCCATGTTTTCCCCAACTAAAACAGTTTTTTTCCATGTTTTCCCCATCTAAAACAGATTTTTTTCCATGTTTTCCCCATCTAAAACAGGTTTTTTCCCATGTTTTCCCCATCTAAAACAGGTTTTTTTCCATGTTTTCCCCATCTAAAAGCAGGTTTTTTTCCATGTTTTCCCCATCTAAAACAGTTTTTTTTCCATGTTTTCCCCATCTAAAACAAGTTTTTTTCCATGTTTTCCCCATCTAAAACAGGTTTTTTCCATGTTTTCCCCATCTAAAACAGGTTTTTTCCCATGTTTTCCCCATCTAAAACCGGTTTTTTCCCATGTTTTCCCCATCTAAAACAGGTTTTTTCCATGTTTTCCCCATCTAAAACAGGTTTTTTTCCATGTTTTCCCCATCTAAAACAGGTTTTTTTCCATGTTTTCCCATAGGTTGGGTCACTTGGTCCGAAATGTCAGGGCTCCTGGGACTTGGACTCCACCGCCGGAGCGCTGCAGCTTGGAGAAAACTTGGCTGGGGATCTTCCAATGGTGATTTAATGGGATTTATCATATTTTATAATAACCATGATTTTTGGATCCTTATTATGGATGGGATGACCATCAACCATATTGAAATGGCTATGGATCAATACCTATGAAAATACCATTTTAATGGGATGAACATGGATGAAAATCCCAGCTATGACTTGGGGTCCACTAGGTACCAGGCTTTTGACCCATCCCCACATCTCTAGGTGCCAAAAGTGTAACCAAAACTTCTGTGGATCATGTGATGATCATCAACCAATATAATATATGGGGATCTTCCAATCCGATGGGGATCTTCCAATCATCAACCAGTGTTCAAAACTTCTGTATACACTTACAGGTGAACACTTTACAGGTATCCCGGTATTCCACTTAAATGGGACGCTAGGATATATCCCAAAACCCCTGTTGGTTGATGATTGGGGATTATACTAGCCAATATATTGGGGATGATCATAATCCAAGAACGGGGGAATCCAAAGTGATAGCTGTCACTTTGCCGTCCCCTAGGAACAGCGGCAGATTGGGCCTCTAAGACGATTATCACGGTGTCACCGTGCCTCGTCTGGTGTGCCCACTGGGACATTTGAGGGTTCTGTGTGGTTCGAAGGTGCTTGATTGTGGATACCCACCTTTCAGACACTTTGTGTCTTTTTTCCTGGTGTTGGAATCACTAGTTTTCTCCAATAAAGTCGGCCGTGAAATGGTGCGATCAAAACATCATCAAAACAATTGACCCTGAAAATTGGATGCCAGAAAATGACCAAAGTTATGGCAGATATGGTACCCCATTCTTGATCCATGGCCATAGAATTCGTTCCATTGCCGAGGTGATGCTCCCATTTCTAGCACTAATTTTTTGTTGCTAGTTCCCCTACTACCCTACTTGCTGATGGTTTTTTTAATCCCAAACCGACGCCAGTGGATCCAAACTTGCTAAGCTAAAGAGGCGGCTCTTTTTGATACCCGCGTGAAGGCTGGGAGTTGCCTGGAGATGGTGTTTTTTTGCTGGTCAGCTGCTGTTTGTCTCCAGAAAAGCTTCAAAACATGAACATCAAGTATGTGGAAAATTGTAACGAACATACAACAGACACTGGGATGCAGCAACAAACGTCCTTTTCTTGGTGTTTCCAAAAATTGTTTGTTGGGATCGCAAAGTCGGCAATTTCACACATGTTTTCAAGACTTTAGACACACAACTGAAGATCAGGTGATTCGGGTATGGCTCAAACATGCGGTACCACTGAGCAAACATGAAATGACCCATTTAAGTATAGATAAGTAGATGATTTACCTTTTAGATATGCCAATTTTCTATGGCAAAGTGGGGTCGAGAGGGTCGAGCTGCAGGTTGATTTCACAACTGACGCGCCTGGGCAGTCGGCCCAAAAATGGACACACGCCGCTTTTCCAGTGCAGCTGATGCCTGCTGGGGGTCGACACCCAGAAAACATGGTGGCAATCCATCAAATCCATCCAATCCGCCTTTTGATGGTCGGTTTTGGTTGGGGGAAACCAGTGGGTCTTAGGTAGCGCAGCTGTTTTTTTTTTGTTCTTCTGAGACTTGGGAACCCAAAACCCCACAGATAATCTCCGCCGCACAATCCCAGGGGCTGTTTTGCTGGAAAAATCAGCACTTAGATGGTACTGTGCTAGTGCAGCTTAGAGATGGGTTGGCCAACTGTGGAAACATGTCATGAAACTGTCGTGAAACTGGTCATCATGCAGTCACCTGTCCGAGTGTGCGCAGCCTTTGGGCTTTCCGTTCCCTTCCAGTTGGCGCCAGAAACATGTCATCCAGGCGAGTGGGGCCCTGGTCAATCCCCAGTCTCTGGGTCAATTCCACAGAAGCTTTGCGGGTTCAGGCAGGGACATCAAGCCACAATATGACTATCATATAACTATCATATGACTATCTAAGCAACCTTCAAAACTGTGTGTTTCAAGAGGTATGCATTGTCGAAGGGCTTCAAACCACTAAGATTCCTAGCTTTTCCACTCTTTTTGGAAGTGTGGCACCAGTGTTTGTTTTCACGCCAAAAGTAGCCGGTCTTTATGCATATTCGTTGGCTACAGCCCATTATGTACTTAGTACTTGGTGATGTTCACTCCACTTAGTGAGTGGTTTATCTCCCAAGTGATAATGAGGGTAAGTAGACATAGTCTAGTTCGAGGCGGTTCTAATCGACATACTAGCTGAGGTCAACCAGCAAGTATATACATTTATTACATTTTTCCCCAAGTGATTGCTGGTTAGATAAGTTACATCCCATTATGTCCCCAGATGTTCCCAGTAGTTCCGGTGTATCATTCATGGGCCCCATGGCTGGCAGGTCCAGCACAAGCATGGCGATTGGTGCCATGGGCGCCGCGGTTTTGGGCTCTTCCGCACTACAGGCCCTGCGCTCTTTCCCTGGGTGAAGTTTGCAACTGATATTAAAATAAGTGACAAATGGATGCCAATGGTGAATTTTGGTGGATTTTTGTTGGATTTTGGAGGTTCAAAAACATTTCAGAAACACCCAAGTGGGTTATTGGCTGAGGGCTGAACAAAGAGTTCTTGCTGGCAATGTACTTGATTCGTAGTGACAAGAAGTGAACAGGAAAGATGTTTGCTTCTCAGCTCTTGATGGAATTGAGTATGCACAAGGCCATTCAAAGAAACAGGTTCAACCACAAAGCAAATGCAAAGTTGCCAGAGTTGCCAGAGTTACATAGCAGGGTGACTGGTAGAGGAGCAGCATATTTCATGCACGATGAGATGATGTCTCGTAACACCTTCACAGCCGACCTTTGAACTCAGTTCGGGTTTCTCTGAAACTAGGGTACCACCCTAAAGTATGGGTTGATCCTCAATTTCCCCATGAAAGTTGTGAATTGGGGCTTCATCTCCCGACTTTCTCAGGCCTTCCTGGCCCCTTCAGCACCTTCCGCCCCCTCCGCGCCGGTGCTTCGCGGCAGCGGCAGCCAGCAAACGTCCGGCCCCGCGGGTCGCCAGGGTGGCCACGCCATGACGGTGGGCCTCGCAACGGCGGCAGTGGCATTGGCGCGGCGGCGCACCGTGGTGAGGGCGGAGGCTGTGGTGGGTGCTGGGTGGCGCTGGGAGGCTGGGAAGCTAAGTGGCAACAGAGATGTTTCATGTATGTTTCTTTTCCCACTCTCATGGAGATAATGGGAGTGATCAGCAAGAATGTGATTATGGGTTTGTCTGGAAATGGCCACCAAAATGACCATTTTGGATGGGGATTTTTGGATGGAAAACCATTGGATTACCCCCTGAGGAAGTCACTAATTGAAGGTTGGGACATGCGAAAATTGGCATATCGACTCTACAAGCTGTGCCCACCCCCATTCACCAACTGCCAGGACGTGGATGAGTGGTTTTGAATCCTGAAGCACATTGGCATCATATGATGTTCCTTTTTCTGTATAGAAGTGTTCATGTTTCGTCAACGGTTTCAAGAGTTATGTTTTTCTGGATTCATGCTCAGAAAGTCTGAAATTCGTAGCGACTAACTATCTATTCAAACCAACACATATGAAGATTCTACAGGTTTGGTTGAACTTGGACCCCGTTTTTGCCACGAACACTGGCAGAAGTTTCAGTGTTGGATTGTCCGACACTGGGGTCTCAACCAGTCTCAACTCCAAAATATGGCAAAAAAGATTGATTGACTCTGATTGACCTGTGGATTTGGAAGATCTTTCTGGAAACTCCCCATGAAAAATATGCAGGTGTCGTGTGTTGCTGGGAAAATCGGAGATTTTCCAGCCATCCATGTTTGATTACCGGAGGGTATCATGGCTCATCCCAGTCGATTCGTGGGATTATTTTTTGAGTATCCCATGGGATGGATTAGAATCCCACTGAAATCCCATTGAAGCATCTGAAATCCCACTATCAATCCCAGTATCAATCCCATATCCTATTGATATCCCATGACATATGGAATCCTATAGCTTATGGATAGGTTATGAAAATCCTATACTATAGGTCTTGGAATCCCATACCATATCCTATTGGGTAAATACACAAGTGGTACCATCTATACATCTTTGGGACAGGAGAAGCCCTTCGCTGGCGGCCTCATTGGGGGAGAGTCCGCCTTCTCGGGACAGGACGGAGGCTTCCGAGGTTCCGAGGCGTTTCAGCCGAAAAGGGGTAGCCCTGCATCATCCAGTCGTCATCGATGACCATGACATACAGAACTAAGGAAAATTAAGATTTAATGGGACTTTATAGTGATTCAATGGGATATTAATATATTAATGGGATATACCCGACCTGGTAAACGTTTACAAAAAACGATGGAAAGATCCACCATGCTATTGATGGGTAAATCCACGATTTCGACTGGGCCATTTTCAAGTTCGCAAACTGTTAGTCATTACCAGAGGGTAGTATTGAAGAAACCCCAGGGTTTTGTGGTTTTGTGGATCCCCCATGAAAATTTTGACACATGCCATTTTTAGGACATCTCCATATGACAATTGCGGTAAAAAATGATCCAATAATATCTAATAATATCTAATAATGATCTAGATCGTGGTAAAAAGATGATCTGATATTATCTAATATGATCTAATAATCTCTAATAATGATGTAATCATATTGAATACTCTCTAATAGGATCTAATAGTGTCTTATAATGAACTAAGAATGATCTAATAATGATCTACTGTAATAAAATCTAATGATGATCTAATATTTAGTATCTAATATGAACTAATAATATCTAGTATGATCCAATATGATGTAATATGATCCAATAATGATCTAATAATGATCTAATAATATCTAATAGGGATCTAATAACCTCTAACAATCTCTAATAATGATCCAATTATACTCCAATCATACTCTAATAATATCTAATAATGACGTAGTCTCCAATAATGATCTAATAATCTCTAATGATGATCTAATATTTAACAATGATCCAGTAGTATCTAATGATATTTAATAATGATCTAACAATATTCTATCTCATATGATCTAATAATATCTAATAATGATCTAATAATGTTTTATATACAATGATCTAGCAGTATCTAATAATGATATGATAATAATAATGATACTTGTGGTAAACTGCATATATATCACAACAGGTTTTTTCTTTGTAAAGAATGATCCTTTCGTCTGGTGACAGTTTTGTCACATGAAACGAATCTTTTGTTTCTAATCGCGGGGTCTTTCTGCGCAGCTTCAGTTGAAGATTCTGGCAGTGACTCTCTCTCTCTCTCTCTCATCTAACATCATGCAGCGCAACATCTTGTGTGTATGTAAGATCATGTAGGGTAACATCTCTTCTGAATCTAACTTCGTGTAGCTTAACATCTCTTGTGTGCGTATGTGTTACATCATCTAGAGTGACATCTCTTGTCAATCTAACATTATGCGGCGTAACACTTTTGTGTATGTAATCTTGTCAATGTAGCATCATGTGGCGCGACATCTCTTGCGTATGCAAGTTGCTTTGAACATGATTTCCCGCATCGTCATATTTACCAGCACCAATGATTTCGATAGACATCGAAAAAAGTCCAAGACGCCAGCACGGCTTTCTCTCGGGTATCCCTCGGCTAGCTGCTAGCAAAATACAGGACAGAATCTCCTCTCCAACTGCGAAGCTTGTAAGAATTGGCAAAAATCAGCCAAATCTTTTCATTGAGCAAACTCAGGGAAGATGCAAGTATCAGACCTTTCCCAAAATTGCCCAACGTGTCGCTTGGGAGGTTCGAAACAAATCTCGGAGACCCCACACTGGGCCTCGCACCATCTGACATTTGTGCTTTGACCCCCAAATTTGGATGATTTGTCATATGTTTTAGCTTTGTTATACAATCATATTGATTTCGATGATCATCCAATATTGTTCAACAATTGGATTGATTTTAGATGATTGTAAATATAGTAAATATCATCCAATATTGATTTAGATGATCAAATCTATATTTACTTGTTCAGATCATCCAATGCATCCAATCTACGGAACTTTGCCTCTCGAGGACTTCAACTTCGACCCCTTGGGTCTGGCCGTGAAGTGCGAGAAGTACCTGCCATGGTTCCGCGAGGCACCGATGGGTCGATGGGTCGATGGGTCTTCCCAGGTCGTATTCGACTCATGGCGGAGCCATTCATATCATTCTATGATATTCTGGAAATCATGGTTTTTATATGGGGAATCATCCCCTTTTATGGCCTTATTTCAGGTTAGTGAATTATGATAATTTACCCAGATGAATGATTCAGCTTAGAAAACCAGAAGTTATGATTAAGTACCACTCATTCCACTCATAATAAAAATTGAAATAAATTGAGTTTGTTGGTTTGAATAGGTTGGACAGCTGCGACATGAGACATGGCTCCGCATCACGCCATCACCTGAGGCGGAGTTGAAACATGGCCGAATTGCTATGTTGGCCTTTGTCGGTCTGGTAGTGCCGGAATTCGTTCGAATCCCAGGCGGGCCGCCTAATGAGAAACTGTTCATCACGAGATGTTGACAAAACATCCAATTATGAACAAGCGTTTGATAGCCGATAGCCTTCAACATCCATTGTTGTTGCCTTCAATTCCACTTAGACTTCAAAGCTCAGATATACCCACCTTTGGAATTTCCGAACTCCTATAGGTCCTATAGGTCCTAGATCTTCAGATTTTTCTGTTCACTGGTTCTCCGATGTTCTCCGATCCACTTGGGGCACCGGGTCCCTTGGGCCCCGGCTCGGGGTCCCCCAAAATGTGCCCCTCCACCAGGGCCTGAACAGTGCTACGGAGCCAAGACAGTGGTGGAAGCGCACAACGCGTGCGCCGGAGATCCATATTTCCCTTTCGTGCTGGATGCCACAGTCACCTGGCAGCCCTGGCAATGGTGGAGGTTTGAGGGTTTTGAAGTAGATAAATGTACTTTTTTTGGAGATATACCGGTGTATATGCATATTGGCATACAGAAAGCAATCTGTTTGTTTTGTTGTTCGCATCCATGTTGAATGGCAAATAAGATGAAACGCAGTCTCGTTTCTGAATGATAGATACCAAGTGGGCAAGCGTATTGTAAGAATAACTGTGAAAACCAACGAAACTCAATTTTTATTGGACAGTAGCTCCAATGTTAAAAAATCCACGATGCGACGATTTGGGGTTTGGTCAAACTTGGATAGTTGATATTAAAAATGATCAAAAGCTGCGTACTTGCGTGGGCCTTGACAATTTCGAAATCCCCCGGAGAACTTTTGTCTAAACGACAACCTCTATTTTTCGTGGTCAAACTACAATTTTTCATGGAAATTCTGGAAGTCTGGCTGACATCATCGACTGCCATTTTTGACAAAGGACTTCTACAACAAGGAGGGACACCAGGTGGGCCCCCTCTTCCAGGCCATCGGCATTCATAAAATGGAGACATTGGAGACACCCTGCAGTGACTTTTACCCACATGGATTCATCTGATGACCAAAAGTTGTTGTTTTTGGATCAAAGTGATCTTTTTTACCACAGAAAAAATGACTTATATGACTTATATGTGACAAAAACATGGCTCTTTTTATTGACTTCCATTGAAAAAATAAAATTTTTGCGATTCGTGTATCAAATCCCAAACTTGGTTCGCAGGTCTTCGCCTTCTGCGGCTTAGTGGAGATGTTGACCACCTTCGTTTGGATCTGAGATGAGATCGGGCATGGCGGCCCCACGAATTTCCTAGTTCCCCGGGATTTTCTTGGTCCATTTGATGATAGGCCGCAAGATCCTTTTCCAGATTTTGGGTGCCCTTTTTTTTGCCGACAGTAGGGATTCTAGGGATGGCCATGTGCAAAAGTCGAAATCAAGATGTCCAGATGTCCCTTTCTCCACTGGTTGAGGGTTGACCACTGAACGAGGAAAAGAGGGTTTTTGGTATACCAAACCAGCCAAAAAAGGATCAAAAAGGTCCTTTTTTGACAGCAAATCCAAAAACGATTCAGGTGGTTTCCACCATGGACGCTCAGTCTAACGACGACTGGTCGAGACCCTCCGAGGCCAAAACGAGCAATGTCTCCAACAAGCCCGGCCTCACCTTGGAAAATGCAGGTGGAGAATTGAGCGGTGTTAAGATTTGGCACCAGAACTGGGGTTTTGCTGGTGGTTTTCGAATGAATGATTGGTATTTTGCCAGGCAGGCCATGGCGAACTGGACAAAAAGCCATTCTGGATCGACAAATCCACAGCGAAATGATGGAATTGAACTCCCCGTTCTGTTCGTCAAATTCCTTTGTCGTTTCAGCAAAATCCGCAGAAATGGTTGGTACAAGGTGGTGCCCCAGTTCGTTCGCTAAGTTGGTGCAAATCGCTCCAATAGCTAGGGTTTGTAGTAGGTATTTCTATCTTTTTATATACGCATATACAGTGTAGTATATACATATCCAAAGTTGATGAGGAGTCTAAACCAACTTACAACTGGGAGGGGGGCACCACATTGTATCTATTCCCATCTTTTGGATGGGCCAACAATGGTCAACACCCATTGATTCCGCAGGGTTTCACATAATAGCTGCCATGGACTCTATGAATGGAATTTCCTTCATTTCTTGTCCCATCACAATCCCATTAAACCACCATTTCTCATGCTTGAAATCCCATATTTTTACCTTGAATGGATATCTTAGATAAGTCAGCTAAGTAGGGTTTATGGTGGATATCTTATATATTGCTATCATCGTAGTAGCTTTAACTTAACTTTTGGATTTTCCAGGTCAGAACTGACCAAACCTGGTGATCAGAGCATGGCTGGACTTGATCCCATCAAATTATAAAATATTATAAATATCAAAAGAGGTGATCAGATTGTGGCACGAATTGGTGTTGTCAGCAGATGATCCAGACCAGGTGATCGGCGGGTAAGGAAATGAAGAAAAGCAGAGTGATCAAATTCATTAAAGAACCCTGGGCTACTCTCCTAACAGGGCTACTGCTAAAACTTGCTATCCTTTCCAAAAAATCGAGACAAATCCAGGAAAAAAAACATAAAAACATCTAAAAAGTCAAAAAACAAAATCAAAAATCTAAAAAGATAAAAAACATCTGGAAGAATTGAAAAACTCTTTAAAAAACACAAAAAAAGGAACGCGGAACTGAAGCGGGAGTGAAGCGGTAGGCAAGAAAACCATGGAACACCTTGAAAAAACATTGAAATCATCGAATCTGCTTCGTTCCGGCTCCGTTCCCGCTTCAAGCCCGTGGAGTCTTAACGCTACCATGATCATTTCAATGTCTAGGTGCCAAGGGTTTGTTGCCACGGAAAAATCACCAGAAAATCCTAGGAGTCTTAACGCTACCATGATCATTCCAACTTATATATATATTATATATATATTATATTATAATATTATATATATATCCCTATATAATATAATATATATATAATATATATATAATATCAATCCCCATGGATCCATAGTTCCATTTCTTTAGAAGGGCGAACGTCACCTTGGAGCCTGACGCAGCCTGACCAGGTGACTATCGCTTGGGGGTCAACTTTCTTCCCAAAGACGAAGCCAAGATCAAGGAGAATGGGGGATGTATATGTATATGTATATGTATATGTATGTACTGTATATACATATATATAGGGGTCATCTTTGAAAATTCCGTATTCTATCGACTTCAGGATGACTATATATATACATATATATATATATCTACATCTACAGAGAGTTTTCGTTCCATGGAACGGTTGCTTGCCAGGAGATGAAGCTCAAGGAGTTGAAGAATGGACGATTGGCAGCCGGGATGAAACATGTTTCCGATGTTTCTGGGAAGCTATCAGGGTTGGATATAGAAAAACCCATGGTTCCCCCAATAGAATCAGCTCTAGAATCAGCTCTATTTATCGTGGCTTTTCCAGAACAAAGGCCCAACTTATTGGCCAAAGTCCTGGATCTTTTTGTGTCAACCAGTTGCAGTCCTACAAGGGAGGTGGTTCCGGTTGTTCCAGTTGAAGTGTAACTACATGGTAACTATTGGGCCCTGTAAGACTGTGACATGTTTTCGATGACGCATTGCACCTCCCAAGATGGAAACCAAAAAAAATTCGAAAGCATTTCCGAAAGATCAACCAAAATTCAGCATTTACCCTCTGGTAATTTGTTACATAACTATGGAAAATCACCATTTTTAATGGGAAAACTCACTATAAAATGGCCATTTTCCATAGTTTTTTGTATGTTTACCAGAGGGGCCTGTCTGAAAATGGGGGATTTCGACCTATTTCGACCCATCGTTAAATGCTCCGATCCCGACAGCGCGACTTTTTGAGGCCATGTTGGCCTTTGGTGGCGCCATTACTCAGGCGAGAATGGCGCTGATGTTGGGTGAACATGTTGGGAAAATGTTGAGAATAACATGGAAAAAGAATAATTCAGAATAACTATGAAATATCACGGTTTTTTAACCATAATGTTGGGAAGATGCTGAGTTTTTCAGTTGATACACGTCTTTTTTTTGGTTGGATCACGGAACAAGAATGTGCTTTGAACTTGACCGAGCCATCCCCTGGCGGCAAGGCCACACTCACCGGCAACGGCTTTCCCTGGCTGTATGCCCAAAAGGTGCGCTCTGCTGTTACGATGGGAGAGATGGGAGATGAGATACTGAGCACACTTTGGATTGATCCAATTGAGTGAAGTCGGCTGCTACGCCAGGTGCAATCTGGGCGGATTGCCGCAAACATGTTCAAAAGTAAGAAAAGAAGGATTCTCCAAGGTTAAAAAGCGAAGTGGTAATATATATATATATATGTATATAGTAATCCCCACAACAAGATCGTCATTTAATATCATTTACCACTAATTTCATAGGATTTTACCAACTTCTATCTTTTTTTTAGGGGTTACTATACCCCAATTCCTATGTTAATCTCCAGGACGAGGAGCGTAGCGTCAGCAGCCGCAGCAGCTTCTGCAACGCCGGAGCTGTCCCTGGCCGTGGCCGTGTGGCGAGGTCCGAGGAACCGATGAAGGGAGCGCTTCGGAGCTCTGGGGGTATAGCAACCCCCAATAAGATAGAGAAGTGATTCATGAGTCATCATGAGTCATCACTATTTTAGTGGGAATTTACTTCTCTATTTTTCTTTGGGATTCATATGATGTACATCCTATTAAATGATAAATGGGGAGTTTCCCACATCGTTTTGATCTGGGCTTCCGCCGACCTGGATTGATCGGAATGGATTACTGTAGATGAACCCGTCTTGGGAGATGGTCATCAATTCATTGGTAAGGATTTATATAGCCATGATGTTAGGATTCCCATGATGGGATGGATGACCCCCATTTTGGAGTCATGATGATGAACATTGATAAACTAACAACTAATAAGTTAATAACAATACCAATCATAGTAATAACTTATTAATAACAATAATCCCCAATCAACCAGATATTAACTCTGCCATCAACAATCAACCAGGTGCCGTGCTTTTTTTAATGGCCACGGCCCAACGGCTCAGGCGAGCTGAGAAGGGCTACAAGATGAGCGCTGCGGTGCCTTTTTTGCCCATGTCTCCAGCCTTGGAGGGCATCCCAGGTGCAGTGAAACGGCCGCGATTTTCCCAACAAATAATGGGATTGTAATGGGATGAACAATGGGATAAACAATGGGATAAACAATGGTTTATCATGGTTTATCATGGTTTATCCCAATATAATCTCATATAACCTCTAGTTATCTAACAGTTTGCCATGGAAAGATCCACCATTTTTCATCGGTAAACCATCTATTTCTATGGGCCATCTATACCATGGCTATGTTAGTCATAACCAGAGGGTAAGTCCTGAAGAATTGGGAGATTGTCAGATTGTGTTGTCTAGATGTTTTTTTCTTGGCCATGGAAGATGTGGAAGATAGAGTCATCCTGAAGAATTTGAAGATTGTTTTTGTTTGGCCGTTTGATGGATTACCCTCTGGTAAACTAACAGTTTGCTATTGAAAATGGCCATAGAAATAGTGGATTTACCCATTAATAGCATGGTGATTTTCCATGGCGAACTGTTAAATTACCAGAGGGTAGTCATGGAGGACATGAAGTTCAACAAAAAATGGAATTCAGGGCGTCAAATCATGAAGAACATGGTTTTTTTTTTTTTGCGGATAACATTGGCCGACATTTGGGTTTGTCTGAAATTGGGCAATATCCCCAAAATGCTGATTTTTCCACAGGTAACATGATGATGAACCGCAAGATTCTTGGCTTTGCCCAGCTTTTTCCCAACATTTCATCGATATTCCCAACATTTTTCTGGTACCACAGCCATTCTCCGACCCAAAACCGTTTTCCAGGTGAGGAAGAGGGCTTCGACCCCATGGGTTTCTCTTTAGCCATTGACATCCGTTGGTTGCGGGAGGCGAGCCGGGAAAAGCCCCAAAAATCGCCGGGATTTATGGTAAAGTGGATCCATTGATGGATGTGTTTTTTATACATCTTTCCCAAATAAAAACACCATCCATAAAATCCCAGCCATATTGGGGTTTACCGTAAATTTATGGATATAATAGCATAAGTTTTTAGTGAAGTCACGATTTTAAGGCCGATTGGTTGTTAAGAATGCGAGCAGTGCCCCTTCAAGTACAACTTGGGAAATCATTTCATCATCTGTATGGGTTGAAATCTCAACTTTTGCTTGGAAAGCAAGGCAATGTTCTTGTTGGACATAGCCCCAATCTGATGTTTCTGTTGGTAAAGGATGGCGGCACATCACCAGGTTATTCGCTTCATCGGGTGGAGATGGTTTTTTTTTCACAACGGGACAGTTGTTGTCGTCATGTTGGAGGTTTCCCCAGATTAATAGACCCGTATTCTCATGATGTTATTTCTTTGTTCTAGTAGACTAGACATGACTAGACAACTTAACAATCATGAACGCTAAAGATTATGATTATCTTAAGTTATCCTGAACTTATAGCAATTAAACATGGAATAGAACATTAAATCATCATCCTTATGATCATCCCCAAAAAGATAGAGAAATCAATCTCAATTTAATGATTGACGATTCACTTTTCTATTTTTCTTGGGGCTTCCCACCACTATTCGTCAGTGTCAACTAATGGTATTGATAGCTATTAACTAGTGAAACATTATGACAGTGATATTCAATCACAAATTCGTGATAGTCAATTCTCCAAAGGTTACCCTTAAGTTATAACAGTTTCTGGTTGGTGCTTTGGAACATTTTTTCATTTTCCCATTCAGTTGGGAATGTCATCATCCCAACTGACGAAGTCCATCATTTTTCAGAGGGATTTATCCAACCATTATTAATCATCATTAACCATATATTAACCATATATTAACCATATATTAACCACATATTAACCATATATTAACCCTATATGAACCATATATTAACCATATATGAACCATATGTTAACCATATATGAACCATATTTTTCAGAGGGGTAGGTCAACCACCAGGTTTTGTCACCCCCAAGTTCCCCAAGTTCGCTCCAGGCAGAGCTGAAGCATGGCCGCGTGGCCATGCTCGCAACTGTGGGATGGATCACGACTGATCTGGGTACCTGGGACGGATCACGGATCATGGTGTTTTTGATGGGAAAATCCCTAGGCTTTTCATGGGAAAATCCATAGGAAGATATGGGGAAAAAGCAGATCAATGGAGGTTTATATGGGTATGGGTCAATACCTATTAATACCATTTTTAGGGGAATGAACATCCATAAATCCCAGCTATTTTGATGTTCACCAGGGGTACAAGGTTTTGACACACTGCCATATAGCGAAATCATCTATGAAGGGATTGTCCAGCAAACCAGAGTTGATTACGGGAGAGTATGGCTGAGATTTTGATGGCATTTGCATGGGATTTAAGGGATGGAACATATGGAGGTATGGTTGACATAGTTGATAAATGATGGGAATTGGATTGGGCTATCCCAATCCATGGCCCAACGAGGTGAGGGAATTACTCTTTATAACATATCCAGATATGATGTTAAACATGGAGCCACTTGGTGGTATGGGGATTTCACCAGCCAGAAAAGGGCCATGTAAGACCTGGAGGATCATAGATGGACTGGTTTATTGTTAGGACATGAACCATCCTGGTGTATTGGGCTACCCAATTTTGACACATACAAACGGGATTTCTCAGGGAATGCGGATTTCTCTGCAAGAGATAAAGGGGGTTCCTTCAAAATAAACAAATCACTGGTGTGAAGTTTCCTGCGTAAAATCAACGTTTTTTTGTTTTTTGTTTTTAACATGCGCATGTTTTTTTTTCTCCAAGAAATACGATATTTTATTTCACTCCCATGGCCATGGCTTTGGCCCGGGCAAAAAAAACCATTGGAAGATTTTTCAGGTCTACATTTGGTGGATGATTTGACAGAGTTGATACCCCAATTTATGATGTCAATATATGATGACTGTAACACTGGCATGGAGCATCCTAGAAATTTTCCCAGAAAACCAACAGCCATTTTTCCGAGGCCTCCGAGTGCCCGGTGATGCCTTCCAGGTCTCCACCATTGAGGCGCATGATGCCATGGTGAAGTTTGGATCCATGCCCCAGTGCCTTGAAACCGCGGGGAGCTTGGGGCCTGAAACCATGATTTCGGGACTTATAGCAACCAGTAGAGAGAAGGACAGATATGGATGTTTTTTTTTTTTGTGAATATGAATGAGTAAAGATTGTTGGTGGATGTTGGTGGTGAAAAAATGCCTTTCTTTTGGACAATTGAAGTCAGTTTGGGACGAAGTGTTGGTTGGCTCACAAACTACCACGATCCCCCAAAAGACAAACTTATCGGATGTGAGTTCAAAGGGCGTCCGCCTGGCCCTTTGACACAAATCTACCAGCAATGTGTGTATATATATATACACCTGAATTCATACACTACAGCACATACATAAAGTATAGTATTTATTATATATATATATATGTATATTTAGTATAGTATTTATAATATATATATACACCTATTATGTATATGATGTAATCAATGGAATCAAAATGCTGGAGGTTCCCCTGAAGTTGATTTTCACTGATTTGAAGAACCAGTGTCAATCATGATTTTAATGGTGTTTTACCAGGGTTTTCATCACGTCCATCAACTTCACAGCACTTGTAGGCTTTCAATACCGGTGCGGGCATTTATTGCATATGTCCGTTTCAAAACATATCATTATTGACTTGTGCATATGTTCTCTGGAGGCATCTCTTAGTTCCTATTGGAACTTGGCATTGATGAAATGCTCATCTCGAATGACAATTTAAGTCAACATGTTCAAATCTCTTGGGAAGGCCCCTGCATTTGGACCTTGCACTTTTGTCCTGTTATATCCACAACGGATTTTTGAATGCCTCTGTGGGTTTCTTGGCTCCGTTAACCTTGTGACATTTTCCACAACGCAATTCAACGAAACCATCATAGATGAAGCAACATTTCCATGCTAGCATGTGACAAAGCAACATCAAAGTAGCAACTACAGTACATTCATGAAGCAATGCAAACCGAATGTTACACAACGCCCCCCCCCTCCCGCCGATTTGTATCAACGCAAGGCTGTTCCTGGCAGGTTGAGGGATCCTACAAATCAAACGCAAATAAGATGCGCAAATACGATTTATCGACTCATTGAATGACTTATATCATTATTCCAAACAAAACATTATATATATATACACATACAGACACATGTATATACATATACATATATACATATATATATATGTACATGTACATATAGATAGATAGAATGTTTGTTCCCAACTCCACTCTGCGCTGAGGATCCTGGTGTGGCTGGGCTACTTGGAACTCTTTGGCTTCCTGGCCATCATCAACATGCAGGAGGGCAAGACTGTGACTTGGACCAAGACATGGTGAAAACATGCCAACCACAAGAGAGAAAGTTCTGAGGATATTGTGAGGAGATTGCCATGTATATTATTAAAGGGGGTTTCCATAAATGGGGGCACCCAAAAATTCATGGTTTTTGAGGGAAGATCCTATTAAAATGGATGATTTAGGGGTACCCCCATTTATGGAAACCACCATATGGAAACCACCATATGTGAAATTGAATATGCAGTATGCCAGCATGCAGTATGCCAGTATGCGCGATGGCAACATTAATATGGGTTTCGCTCAGATTTTGCATGATTACCCGTGAATTACCACCCGACCAGATAGCAAACCAGCCGAGAAGACAGCCTTTTCTGGTCGGGGAAAAATACACAGTGGGTTTCCAGGCAGCTTCCAAGCCTTTTTCTGTAGATCTGCAGTTTCTGTTTTTTTTTCTTGCCAACATGGGAAGCATTTTGATGGCCTGGGTCCCACCATTGTAGTTCACTAATAAGCAGGAACATATGTCCATGATCAGTTTTAGATGATGATTTAGTACAATTTTATAAGTTCATGTTCATGGATGAATGCATAAAAACCAACAACTTCGAAGATCCTTCAGGAATGAATCTCTTTGGTGGATCCTTGATGATTTTGATCTTTCAAGGACCGCAAACCTGGAGATTTTGGGCTGCGTGGCTTCTACCCAGCAGATGCCAAGGGGCAATATGACATGCAGGTGCCGGGGTGGGCTTGGCATGGACGGCAAACCTACCAGGTTTGATTTGTTGTTTCTAATGTGGGAAAAACAATGTCATAAACCACCCATGACTGGGAATGGTAACCATACCACCTATTTACGGTGATGACTGGGGGATTGTTTATTATTGTTTTACCCACATTATATAATCTAGATCTATCTACTTAACATTTTTCTTTCCAGCAGCAAACATCTCCTCAGAATGGCCATGTGGAAATTGCATTTTTTTTTCAGCGGAGTCAGGGCAAAGTCCCTTCATGAAAAAAACCTGCAGAACCAACTGACGTTGAAAGAGCTGCAACTTTGGCTTGACCGGTAGCCGTCTGCCATGGTGGACATTCTCAAAGGGAATTTTGTCTCGACTTGATCGGTTATTCATCATATTTTTCGAAGATCAAGCACTTGGGTATGGGTCAAAAGTCGAGAGAACATTCGGACCCGCAGATGGTCATTTTGACAATGAATTGTAACAGTTTCGGGGGCACACAGGGACTTGACACAAGTTGGATTCAGCAGATTTTTCGAGCCTCGACACTTAACAGATGGCCGTCACTATCAGTGCCACCAGCGTTGACATGCAACGTTGGAAGAAACAAAACACCAGAATATGGGTGTGTCTGAAAATAGTGTACCCCTAAACCCAATGGTTTTGCTGATCATTATCCCTATTAAATGGCTATAATTGGGAATATACCCTATTTTCAGACAAACCCATATGTTAACAGACTTCAACACATTGTATTTGGTCTAGGACATTATGCAGATGTAGAAACCCGCATTCCAGACAGACCACTGTCTTCCCAAAGAATCACGATGTCCTGAACACGGATCCTTGTGACGTTGTACAGCAGCAACCAGCACTTTCCATACATCTTAAGAGTTGAGATTCATCAAATAAACACAAAAATGATACATGTGAGTATAGGCCACAATTATCGCCCGGGCCCACCAGAATGATTTGACCGACCTATTTCTTTCGCGATCAGCAAAGAAACGCCGAAACGCAATGCCCAAAATACTAACTGGTAGATGATAAGATAGGGGTAATACCACCTAGTCACCTAATAATACTATGTTATATATATACACATATAGGGATTGTTATAAGCCATCATGGAGACCCCCCACAACGCGGCCAGATTCTCAGGTGAAGGAGCTTCGCAATGGACGTCTGGCGATGTTAGCCTTTTCAGGTGCCGCCTTAAATTGGCCCTTCCGTGGCATCATGGCTGGGACATCCCCATAGAAAAATGGGCATTTCAATGAGCAAAACATCTGCAAATGTGGGGGGATTTTCCACCATGTTTGATTACCCATGGCTGTGGTGAGAAAACACCAATGGCAGAAAAAATGGTGAGAAATCCAATTGAGCATATTGTTCATTACTTACTAAGGGGAGCTTCTACTACTTGGTTCATTGGGGATTGCCCAACAAAACAAAAAGGCTTTTGAACACTGCTCAATGTGCGACAAGTTAAGATGGTTTAAGCATCAAACATAGTGACTTAATGGATCTTAATGCGAGATAATGCTATATTTTGCCCATTATTTTATCCAACCGAAATGGGACATGTCTAGATTTCCTTCGCAATCAACATGATTGATGATCCCCTGGACCATTGTTGGTCGAACTGGGGGACCTGCGTGCTAGCAGGCATTGCCACTGTGGGCGTGCTGACGCAGGAGTCTGGTTGGTGAATGTCTAAGGGTACTGGATGAGGTTCAGAAATCCTCCCTGGCTGTGATAAGAAAGGTTGGAGCAACACTAAGGAAATGTCATAATGTATGATGGCAACGTGTGTGACGAAGTTCGGACCATGGCAATTTTTGTAATTGCATTTTATGCAACCAACGACAAAATGTATAAATAGTATTAAATAGTTCTATGATCATTATAAGAACATCCTGGGCAAACACACTTATCATTATAAGTTGACATTGGTTGGTCTGGATGAAACATATATATAGCAGTAAATGGCGGTAACCTAAAACCTGGGTGAATATATATATATGATGTAAACATACTGGTTTATAGCATGGAGAAAAAGTTAATGCTTAGGCAAGCCATGAGTCAGCCATGGGATTCCCCACAGGATGGGATTAGTAGCCCTACTAGGATCCAAGGTTTCAATGGCTGATGTTCTTCCTAGGCGCTACCCAGAATCCGTTGGTCTTGTCATGTCTAGTCTATTTTGGGAGTTTCCCCAAAGGTTGAGGCTGATGCGCGCTCTTAACGAGAGAGAGAGAGAGAGACATGTTTTCGGATCATTTACATATGTATATATATATATGTATAAAATGAACCTTCCACGGCGCATGCTGTGCAGAAAAGAAACACTTGCAGGTCTTTCCAGAACACTGGAATGTCTGAGCTCATAAGATTTATCAGAATCTCTTGACGTCTTAGCAATTTCTATAAAATACCATATGAACATATATATATATATATATGTATATATATATATGTATATATATATATATGAAAACAGATAAGACCCGGAATCTCCAGATGCCAATCATAAGACTGGCGCTTTCACCGGTGGCACGTCATGTCACCAGGAGAAGTGGCCCTTCTTTGATGCAGTGGTCAACGCCGTCCCCAGAGATGCGCAGCAGGACGCGGGCAAGGACGTAAACTCATCATAAACCACCATAAATACATATACATATATATATATATACATATATTATCTTGTTGGTGGTTTCAACCATTTTTTGTTTTCCATTTCATATATGGGACAATTGATCCTTCCCATTGACGAACTCCATCATTTTTCAAGATGGTGAAATTGCACCACGAAGCAGTTGTGTTATGATATATCCACCACATATAACTTATAACTAATATCCGCGCAGTGTTAGGATCCAGGATTCTCTAGATTCGACGGTTTTCGGATTCTGGTGGTCATTCTCATCAATGGATCATCCTTCACCATCTGGTTATGACTAACAGTTCGCCATGGTATAGATTGGCCCATAGAAATAGATGGTACACACCGTTCTTAATAGCATGGTGGATCTTTCCATGGCAAACAGTTAGTCATAACCAGATGGTATATGAGATTATATTGGGATAAACCATGATAAACCATTGTTTATCCCATTGTTTATCCCATTGTTCATCCCATTACAATCCCATTATTTGTTGGTAACAGTTGGTACAGAATGGGATTATAATGGTATCAATAATCTATGGATGATCCTCAGGCCACTTCCAGCCGCTTCTGCGGCGCGGCAGACCGTGGGGCAGCGCGTCATGCCACGGTGCGATGTTTTTTTGCGATGTTGATGTCATGTGGGCAAAGCAATAGGATCCACCCTCCCCAATAACTTACCACTTTTATGGGTGTAAACCATAAATCCATATGGTTGGTTTATGACATTGCTTTACTAATATTGGTCGATGAACCAGCCATGGTAGGATGATTTGTTTGTGTGTTTTCTTTTTGAAAGACCAAGCAGCCAGGCTCGTAGGGCCTCCAGCAGCAGGAGCATGCCCTTTCTGTCGGGACCCGAAATGTGTCAGATGGGGAAAGGTTGGGAAAAACCAGCGGAACAAAGCTGGGAAAAGCACGACACATTTCAACATGTTGTAAACATTTTGGTATAATACATACAGTCACATACACTTACATACAGTTACATACAGTTGCATACAGTTCCATACAGTTCCATACAGTCACATACAGTTACATACAGTTACATAATATACATACAAGTTACTGTACATACAGTTACACACACAGTTACATACAGTTACATACATACGTACGTACATGCACATATATATATATATATAACCATTGTAGTGTTGGCGGGTCTAGGATTCTCCAACTTGGTTCAGTCCTGTTTGCACGGCAAGTTCAAGGATATTTCATGGATGGGTGGAGAATTCAACAACTGGTGGTGCCATCCAACTGGATGGGGGGGGGTGCTGCAAAGATGTAAACCCAAATTGGGAGACCTCCAATGAATTCATGGCAAAATATGTTTCATTTTTGCAAAACCATCCTGGTTTGAAGTTTTTTTTTTTGTCGGATGTTTGGATTGTCCATTTTTGCTATACTTTTGGGAGGATCAGCGGATCAGAATTAGGTCCCCAAAAACTGTCCCCTGTGCCTTGAAATTTGACTCGAAAAACCCATTGTTTCGTCGACATTAAAAAGGGCCCCAAATCTTCACAAAAAGGGACCCGAAATCTCGGTATTTCGGGGTTCCGGGACCCCCAGATTGCTGGACACTTTTGGCGTTACACAGTGGATCAATAGCGGTGTCCCCACAGTTACCAAATGTGATGTTTATATAGGAAAGATGGGCTTGTACCTGATAAATCGGGAAACCACCCTAGATCCATCTAAATCCCATGGCATTTGAAGCATCAGCTGAGGCCTAAGCCGCAGAACTTGGGTGGCCTGGTGGGTGGTGAGGCCGAGTTCGATCCCCTGGGCTTCTCTGATACCTTTGATGCCACTTGGTGAAGTGAGTTGAACGAGATGTTCGTGGGATTTCCAGTACACCAACCGTTGTATGGGGCAACTATCGATATTTCTGGCTAAATTGATAAATGATGGTTGTTTGGCTATAGTGGATCAACATGTAGCTGGTTTTATGGAGATGAAGGAACCCATGATAGGAATACTTCTTAACCAGTATAATGGAATGGCATAGGGCCACAATTTTCATAGCTTTGACAAAAACACACACGTTTTTTTTAGAAACACCCTGCCATTGGTCCAGGGTACCCTGGACGAGAACTCCAAACTTAGTCCATCCCTAGGGTCTATGTTTTTTTAAAGATAAACATATATATATAGTGATTATATATATATATATTATATATATAAGAGAATCTTAGTGTGTGTCTCTCTCTCATATGTGAGTATATGTTATGTATGAGAATGTGACTGTCATGATCTACCATTGACTCTTCATCAGACGATGTGCTTTCTGCAGCATTTATACACATCATTTTTGATAGATTTTCGATATGTCTTTGATATCAGAAGATGTAAAAAACGGGCAGCTGGGCATATGGATCGTTGACCTCTGGGGACTAGTCATGGCGATGTTTCCCATTGTCATGTTTGATTACCAAGGATATATGTTTAGGCATACACTTTATATAGAGATTCGGGAAATCATATCCAAGTTACATATGGAACATGTATCAGATCCATGACCAAATCACATGGTCAAATTGGTTCCATCCAGTTGTCGCGCAAAAAGTTGGCTGCTCAACGTGGTCTCCGACAGCAACATCAACAAAAATGGTTCGGCTTCGGCGGGGAAAACGAAGTTTCAAACTTTCAAACCATAGGATTCAGGATGTTTTCCCACAAACCAATTTGAGCAAAGCAATTTTCGGCCATACCAAAGTTTGTAGTGTATCGTGACGTATCCATAAATATTTATGCCCACAAAATCAAAGCAAGTTGCTGAGCATCTGTTTTTTGGTGGAGACCAGCTAGCTTGGGAGCAGTCATCATGTTTCATGACCCAACAAGTTGTGGCTTCACTGGTATCCTAGTTTTTGAACCCAATCCATATCATCTTGTTGGTCGCATATCCCATTATATCCCATGATACGTACCACTATGCCTGGTTTGACAACGTAACCACATGGTTTGTTGGGGGAAATTGGTTTGGTAAATCCAAGTGTCTAGCAGCAGTGCGGGTCTGACACTGGTGATGGATGCAAGGCAGGTACAACTTGGAACCCTCGAAACCCCTTTTGGGTTGCAACAAGTGGGGTGAATTTGGTCACGTGGCGATCCGGAATCATCAAACATGGTGATCCGGTGGGTTTCCCGAAAATACAGTCACCCATTCTATACCCATCACCCGTTACCCACAAAGCGCCAATTATATACCCTCTGGTAAACTAACATAACTATGGAAAATCACCATTTTCAATGGGAAAATTCACTATAAATGGTCATTTTCAATAGCCATGTTAAATTACCAGAGGGTAACCTTTTTGAACCCAATCTTTCGCTGTTCAATGGAACCAGGTGGGGTCGCCTGGTGGATTTTTGCTGAGGTGAAGTGGCTGAGAGAGTCGGAATTGAAGCACGGCCGCGTGTGCATGTCGCTTGGACTGGGAGATGAGTGGATATGGGTCTGTCTGAAAATCGAACATCACTATTTTCACTATTTTCACTGTTTTCACTATTTTCACTGTTTTGACTATTTTCACTATTTTCACTATTTTCACTGTTTTCACTATTTTCACGGTTTTCACTATTTTCACTGTTTTCACTATTTTTACTGTTTTCACTATCTTCACTGTTTTCACTATTTTCACTATTTTCACTGTTTTCACTATTTTCACTATTTTCACTATTTTCACTATTTTCACTATTTTCATTATTTTCACTGTTTTCACTATTTTCACTATTTTCACTATTTTCACTGTTTTCACTATTTTCACTATTTTCACTATTTTCACTATTTTCACTATTTTCACTGTTTTCACTGTTTTCACTGTTTTCACTATTTTCACTATTTTCACTATTTTCACTATTTTCACTCTTTTCACTCTTTTCACTATTTTCACTATTTTCACTGTTTTCACTGTTTTCACTGTTTTCACTGTTTTCACTATTTTCACTATTTTCACTATTTTCACTATTTTCACTATTTTCACTGTTTTCACTATTTTCACTGTTTTCAGTGTTTTCATTGTTTTCATTGTTTTCACTATTTTCACTATTTTCACTATTTTCACTATTTTCACTGTTTTCACTGTTTTCACTATTTTCACTATTTTCACTATTTTCACTATTTTCACTATTTTCACTATTTTCACTATTTTCACTATTTTCACTGTTTTCACTTTTTTCACTATTTTCACTATTTTCACTATTTTCACTATTTTCACTATTTTCACTGTTTTCACTATTTTCACTATTTTCACTATTTTCGCTGTTTTCACTATTTTCACTATTTTCACTATTTTCACTATTTTCATTATTTTCACTATTTTCACTTTTTTCACTCTTTTCACTGTTTTCACTCTTTTCACTATTTTCACTATTTTCACTATTTTCACTATTTTCACTATTTTCACTGTTTTCACTATTTTCACTATTTTCACTATTTTCACTATTTTCACTATTTTCACTGTTTTCACTATTTTCACTGTTTTGACTATTTTCACTATTTTCACTATTTTCACTATTTTCACTGTTTTCACTATTTTCACGGTTTTCATTATTTTCACTGTTTTCACTATTTTCACTATTTTCACTATTTTCACTGTTTTCACTATTTTCACTATTTTCACTATTTTTACTATTTTCACTGTTTTCACTATTTTCACTATTTTCACTATTTTCGCTGTTTTCACTATTTTCGCTGTTTTCACTATTTTCACTATTTTCATTGTTTTCACTATTTTGACTATTTTCACTATTTTGACTATTTTCACTATTTTCACTATTTCCACTGTTTTCACTATTTTCACTGTTTTCACTATTTTCACTATTTTGACTATTTTCACTATTTTCACTGTTTTCACTATTTTCACTATTTTCACTGTTTTCACTATTTTCACTATTTTCACTATTTTCACTGTTTTCACTATTTTCACTATTTTCACTATTTTCACTGTTTTCACTATTTTCACTCTTTTCACCATTTTCACTGTTTTCTCCATTTTCACCATTTTCACTATTTTCACTATTTTCATTATTTTCACTATTTTCACTATTTTCAATATTTTCACTATTTTCACTATTTTCACTATTTTCATTATTTTCACTATTTTCACTATTTTCACTGTTTTCACTATTTTCACTATTTTCACTATTTTCACTATTTTCACTATTTTCACTATTTTCACTATTTTGGTTTATTGGTCTAAACTTATTTTCACATGAATGGAGAATGAGTGAATATCCCCAAATTTAATGGTTTATCAGTATTTTCTTTCACACGTAAATAGCCATACATTTGAGGGATAGCCCATTTTCAGACAAAGTCATATGTCGAACAGCGAGCATTTTATGGGAATAGACTGGGAGTATGATGGGATATCAACAACAATATATGGATTTGGCCTTGAGAATAGTGATATAATGTATAAAATTGTCAAACCAACCATTTCATGCAGACATAGTGTGAATGTGAGTGAAAGCGGCTGTATTTTCCTGAAGAAACAAGTAGTGTGAGAGAATAGCTTAAATGGGCAAACAACTTCCAAAAAGTCATCGGGTTAAGTTCAAAAACTCTTAGGGTTTGAAGTGAAGAATACTCGAGCTGCCTGCCATTTTTTTTTGAATGGTTTCCATTGTTTGTTAGGATCTATTAGGAAGATTGAGGGATTGCACAATTTTTTTCACAAGTATGAGAGTCATAAGAGCCACTTAAATCCCACAGAGAAGCGATGAAAGCGGGATCGGGGCTTTGATCCCAGCAAGTGTCAAAGGTTTCCCCTCGACCCAAAAAGATTCGTTGTCCAATACAAAAACCAGGGTTTTTCATGATAGTTTAATGCGAAGAGGATTCTCTGATTTCGGATGCTTCATTTTGGATCGTTACGCAGTTCGAGCCACACAACCTCAGCCACTTGTGCCAAAAAAAGGCAACTGGAAGCCATGCACTTGGGATTATTCCCAAATCCTGAACATGACGAACCCAACCCATTGGCATTTTCGGGGGTGTGTCCGAAAATGGGGGACCCCCAAACCATGGCTGATTTCGTACGGAAAATGATGATTGACCGATTGACATCGACAAACCATTGGGTTTGAGGGGGATTCAGCTTCTCTAGATCTGGTCGCAGGCTGGCAACTATTGGCTTTGTGGCAGAACAATACGTGCAATTCCCAGGTCGCGGAAGGGCAATGATGTGTAACCCTGGACGGGAATTATACAGTCTTGAAAACAGATCGAATTGCAACATATTTTGACCCCGCCATCAGGAGTTTCGATTCGTCGATTCGGGATGTTGGTTCCGCAGAGGGCATATTAAACTTCCCTTTGTTTGGTTGATAAATGCAGGAGTAACCCCCAACAATGAAGAGATAGGGGTATTCTTGATGCGTATCCCACAAATAGTAACTGGATGATAACCCGTGTACGAAAGTGCCTATATCCTGTATACTGTATATGTACATATTCATAGTATATATATAGATATAAGTGGGGTAAGTCTGTAATTCAGCCTGACTCGCCCGGAAGCGACGCCCAAACCCAGCCAGGCTTTCCTGCCGCCGAGGATGCGCTACAGGCGCTGGATGTCACGGACAACGGGTGGTTTTTCCATCAGACATGGGGATTTTTGCAGGTTTTTTTCCAACTTGAAATGGCACCTCTCTTCTTCTTCTTCTTCTTTTTCTTCTTCTTCTTCTTCTCTCTGTCTCTCTTTTTGTATATGACCTGGAACATATGTGTACATACATACATACATATATATATATACAGTGTATATATATATATACAGATACAGAATGTATATATATATATAAACATAGATACAGATACAAGATACACAGTATACATATATATATATATACACAGATACAGTGTGTATGTATGTATATATATATATATGGTCTCGTGTTCCGTGTTCCCAATGGTATGGGTCCCCAGGTAGCACCCTCTTCCCTTCTATTTGCAAGCTATTGGCAGCATTTCTGAGGTCCAGCCTCGTATTTGCTAAGTCTTTGCAGCATTTCTGACTACCAGCCTCGCATTTACTAGGACGACCTACGTAGCACACATACTCCCTCAAAGTCTCAAAGTACCTACGTGCTACCTATAGGCATATGCCTATAGGCATATATACATGTGCTCTGTATCTACTTCCTATTCGCTACCTGTGTACTCTCACAACACTACATGTGTTTAACATATACCGTACCTACCATACACTCCAATGATACCATGCATACCATACATGCCAGACGAACTTTGACCATACATACCATACCTATCATACCTATCATAGATACCACACATACCGTACATATGAAACATGATTACCACACCTATCATACATACAATACCAAACATACATGCCATACATACCATACCCACCTTATATAGCAAACATTCCACACCCATCATAGCAACCATACGTACCACACAGACCATACATACTGTCATATGAAACATACCATACCCAACAGATTTACATACCATACCTACCACCCATACAATACCAACCATTCATGCCATACATACCATACCTACCATACATACCAAGCATACCATACATTCCAAACATGCCATACCAGACCGACCATACACACCACAGTGGGGGGGAGGGTGACAGTATTATGGCTGACCCATGACCATGGCGGGGGGGGAGGGGGGTTGGAACGCTGGACCACATATATATATATATACACACATACAAAGTATATATACAGTACGTACACACGTGCGGCTGCACACATATCATCTAGCCCCCAAACAAAACCATTGGTTCGTACTGGATTGCCCTTCATTTGTGTGGGCCAGTCACAGGGGACGTATTTGATACTCATGTAGTGAAGCCAATAGGGAACCATACCAACATCTACCCTATCATGTCTGAATATTTTCAGCAAGCTTGAGGCAGGGGGTTTCTGATTTGGTTTCATATACCAGATCTGGCACACAAAACCATGGGTTTCTCCAAAAAGCATGGAGTATAACGTGGTGGAATCAATCTGGAATTCCATTGGATACCCCATTTTAAGACGAGCCCCATATATATCTATATCTATATATATATATATACATACACATGCACATACACATACATACATGACAATATGTAAATATACATACATACACACTTTCACATTATAATAAAGATGATAGTGATCATCACAACAAGCATGATGTTTATCTAAACAATTGTGTGCGGTTGACGGATGGCGAGGCCATTTACGTGGCGCCGGTGAACATGACCGCGCTGTTGCTGGTGGCTGCAGGATACATCGAAAGCTCTAGCTATGGTGGAAAGTTTCTAGATCGTGGCACGGGGGCGAGGATGCTATTTTTGTCATTGAAATATTGGAGACAGGGGAAATATGGGAAATATGGGAAATGTAAAGGTTTGCATTTATCAATGACATAGTTTTTTCATGATTTTTGAGTTTTGGTTTGTTTTGAAACATATGAAAAACGAAATGGTTTTGACCATTGACGTTGCGGGTTTTCTATGTGTTTTCTTGTGAAGTCTGGGAGCTGCATGAAATTTGCATGTGGGAAGTGGAATGGCACCCTTGGACGTTTGGCATGTGGACACCGCTTTGGGGGGGCTGGAGACATAGAACATCAGCAACCGACAACCATGTAAAATTACTCGTGGTCCTCAACACTTGTAGGGCACCCATATGGGCAGGGGCAGAAACTGGGTTCAATGCTTGAATGCAGAATCGGCCTGGGTTCTTCAGGGGTCAAATGTCAAATTTGACCATTCCATGTACCTCAATCTAGCATCTTTGCGCGTCAATCTGAGTGTTTGTTTTTTTCAAGACAAGTAGGAGTTGCATTGCTGGAATTCTATCTCCCCACCTTCCAACGCCAACATGATACAAAAGGCATACTGTATATACAGAATCATACCCCACATCAATACATACTTATGTTTTAATGTTATATATATATACATATAGATTCATATCCATTTTCCATCATAGATTAGGTTGGATTAGATCAGATTACTTGTTGATCAGATTGTATCGAGATTTGAAAAGAGCTGAGGCTCACCATGTTGGACATGTTCGAGGGCGAAGGAGCCAAGCGAGCCCCAGGTGATCTGATGCTTGGCCGATTTTGTTCGAGCCGGGGGATGTTTTTTTTTTTTGCAGGGATGGGATGGTGAAAAAAGGAAAGTCATGGGATTTTAAGGGATTTCTGGGGTTTATTGGGGTGCATAGGTAATAGGATCTAATAGGGATTTATAGATGTGATTCCTTGGTGCTGAAGTTTTTAAGGATGACCCATTTCTTGAGCAATGAAGTGATTGGTGGTGAAGTTGCAAGTATTGGTTTAAAGAATCTTAGGTTAAAATTTTTGTGGCTCCTGGCGACCCGTCTTGTGTGTGGAGATGTTGGTCCTGCCACTCAGGAACTTTGGCAAACGCTTCTTGCCAAGCAACAAGGCTGATGCAGATGTGCTTGCAACCAAGGATCCGTAGCCAGGGGAGCAGCCAGGAAGGAATCATGATTATTTGTGTTGTCTAAACACAGGTGATACCCAAGCATGGCGATTTTTTAGGGAAACATGTTGAAATCCATGGGAGTTTCAGGTACCGAAAGCGAAGTGGGGGTCATCCCATCTATTCCTGCAGAAATGCATGTATGTATATATATATATATGGTATACACATGTATATACATATATGTATATCATGGTAACTCTATTTCTCTCTCTATGTATATATATATGTATACATATACAGAATATGTATATTTATGCACATGACTAAGGATGGATTTTCTGATTTTTCTTGATATCTTTTCCTTGAGGCAACCTTTCGAATCCAACATTTTCCTGTCAGACTCCGGGACAGGAGCTGAATGATGGTCGGCTGGCCATGTTGGCCTTCTCAGGCGGGAATTTCTGATGAGATGATGGAACAAATGGCTTAAGTTCGCAGTGAAAAGTGCACAAACATAGAATACTTTATACACACACATATATATATACATACGTACGTACGTACGTACGCCCGCCCGCATGCACGCACATCCATCCATCCATCCGTCCGTCCGTCCGTCCGTCCATCCATCCATCCATCCATCTATACATATACACACACACACCCACCGACCTACCGACTGACCTACCTACCTACCTCGCCTCGAACATAAGACACTTCCAATTTAGCCATTGTGTTTCAACTGTGGGGAAGTTTTGCATTGAGTAGTTTCATTTCCAGAGTTTTTCCATCCGTCATATATTTTCGCAGGTTGCATAGTACAAATGAGATGTACTGTTAACCGACGATTAATAACCCTCAGTCTATTTACTGGGTTGGTACCAATTTTAGTGATAATTTATTACTCTGTGGCGAGTCAACCTACCTTGCGGCACATCTTCGCAGGCATGGTGCACCACAACTTGGTGGTGAAGGGACCTCTCTTCCCTCTCTTCCCAGAGGGCTGGGAGGGACCCCAGGACAGGGCGGGGAAGCGACAACGACCAAGACAGATTTTGATGGATTTTTTGGGATTGATAAACATCCCGACATGACCAAAAAAGATAATGCTAGAGATGATATCCTCACGAATTACCTGGGGAAGCAGTCCACTACTTGTAGTGGTTATACAACCATTATAGGGGTTATATCCAACTGATGGGTGTTAACCCCGTGCTATACAAAAGTAGCTATACGGTCATACGTTGAATAGGTGACATCACCATTGACCATTGACCATGAAGCGCACCCCTTACGACTTCAGGTCGATTATATATCCCATTGTATTCCCATGAAATCCCACTGTGTTTCCATTCATTCCCACTATATATAACCATATATTCCAATTATAGCACCATTATATTCCCATTACATCGCCATTATATTCCGATTATATCGCCATTATATCGCAAATCTATTCCCATTATATCACCATTGTATCACCGTTATATTCTCACTATATACCATTGATATCCCCGTTGAATTTTTTGTTACTAAATCTGAGGCCTCAGGGCCGTTACAGAATGGTTTTTGGTTACCATTTTGTGCAAATTTTTGACCCTGGGTTCTGCCATCTTCCCCTGGTACCGGAATTTTACATTGGAAGTGCGAGTTTGTTCCCCTCCAGTCCCGACCATTCTGTCGGAGTCTGGAGGGCTAATCAACAACCATTACAAATTGGATGGATTCAAAGCGTAGATGAAGAATGCTCAACTATAGACCCCACAATCTGGATGAAAGTTAGATAGAATGACTAGAACACACATCAATTTTTCATTTTATTTAGTTTTATTCTTTTTTATTTGCTTTGGTGGCTGTGCTTGCTCCAGTTGGTGTCCCGACATGCATGTGAGTTTATGTGTTTCACATTGAGCGCAGTCTTGGACTCCATTGCTCATGGAAGAGGAAGAATCAAATGTAGAAGTTTGTGCATCATGTTTTGTGCATAAATGTAGAATTTAATATATCGATATTTATAATATATATATATCGATATTTATATTTTTTGATTATGACATCCAACTGTTGGAAAATATCTCTTAGACATATTGGTACGTTGTATTCAATGTTTACTTTGGCCACTCATACAGCATTACGCTAAAACAGACTGATGAACGCAAAAGAACGGGAAAAATGAACCGCGACTCGGGTTGGCCGGGCTGTTGCAGGTTACTGCCTAGGGATCCTAGGATAGTGCGAGTATAGCCACCCCCAGTCCCCACCATTCTGTAAAGGGCAAATCGAGCGAACGGATGCGAGCGGATGCGAGTCGAGCAAAATCGGGGTACCATTTTGTAACTAGGGGTCAGCTTGGACTGCCATTTTGTAACAAAAAGCTTCCTCGGTGAACGTTGGGTTCTGCCAACTTGTAAGAAGGGCACTTCCTTGGGTGACGACTCTATGTCCAAATTTTTAGAAGATGACAGGTCCATAATTCTGTAGTTACAAAATGGCCTCTCCTACCTCGCTCACTCGGGCGTCCAATCAGAACGGTCGCTCATGGATCACATTAGATTATTCTCTTACGCAAATCACCACAAAAAAATCTACCCTCTGGTAAACTAACAGTTTGCTATTGAAAATGGCAATTTATAGTGAGTTTTCCCATTAAACATGGTGATTTTCCATAGCCTATATTCCCATTCATTCCAATCAAACCCCCCGTGAATTGCCCAGTTTTTCCACCACGAAATGCTCCGCCAGGGATCATGGGATCTGGACAGCACCGCTGGTGCTCTGTGACTGGGCAGCGGCCAAACATCGATGGATGAGATGGATATCATATGATGATGTAAACTCATATATATATATACAAAGATTTGAAATGCATGACATGCATCTAATATGATACCTTTGTTGATCTATATAATAGATGATATGTATAATAACATCCACACACACAATATATATATATATAATTATATATATATACATACATTTTTCGTTCTCCCCGCAGCTTGTCAACGTATACATTGGGCGTTTCTCATCCAGCTGCCAGCATCTTCGAGGAACAGCGGTCGCCTTGGTCTCTGATGCTGCACCGGTAGGCTTCCCCGGCTAGTGGGTAACCGACAAGAAGATGTCCACCAGCTATTTTGGGATTCGATCTGACCTTTTCTATCTGTTGGGGTTGCTATAAATGGGATTTTGCTGGCATTTCAATGGATTTAACCATGAAAAATATGGAGATCTAGTTGCTGTTGATACTATAAGTGATGGGACTTGGATTTGGGTAACTCTCCTAAGCCATGGTCCAACTTTAAAGGTGAGTAGCAAGACAGCCAGTACCAGGAACCTTAGGGGGTCGAGTGATGAAGAGCAACATTCAAAGAGAGCCTTGGAATCTATTTGTCTGTTGAAAACCCTTGTTGCTTGATCATTGTAGGGGATTATACTAACCAACATATATATATACATACATTACATTACATTACATTACATTACATTACCATTACATTACCATTACATTACCATTACATTACCATTACATTACATTACATTACATTACATTACATTACATTACATACATACACACATATGTATGTGTATATATATATAGGTATATGTATATGTTTTGGGGATGATCACAATCCATGAGGCTGTTGAACACTGCTCATTTGCAAATCCCACGCCAGGGGTGTGTCCCGCGTGACGTCTTTTTGAGCTAGGGCCTGGTTGAAGGTCCTCGGACGCTGACGTTTCTTTTCCCACGTGCATTGTAATGTGGGTAAAATCACTATAGTTATAGTATATCTATGGGGATAATACTATCTATAGAATATATCTATATCTATAGTATTATCTATGGTTATATGGTGGCATATTTCATATATCTATATTTATGGTTAATGTGGGAATAACACCAGCCATGACTGGGGCATGCTGACCAGTGTCACTGGGATCTCCATGGCAGCTGACTGCACGACTCATCATTTGCACTGGGGCAATAGGCAATATATTTCAACATTTTCTGGTTATTATACAATTATATATGTACATACAATTATTTATACAATTATATATATATATATACAATTATATATATAATTATATATATATAATTATATATATACATATATTGTATATGTGTTAATATTTATTTTTCATTTCCACCGGTACTTGGCTGAGATGACCATCAGTGATCCTGAATGAAGCATACCTACAGCTGAGGCTACCAGCAATCTGAGTCCTCCACATGTCACAGGCTGACGTAAAATCCCAGCGTATTTGCTGAATGACTTTGGTTGCCTTTCCTGTCCCAGCCAGCATAATGTTATTCAATCGTGATGGCATACCCTCTGGTAAACTAACATAACTATGGAAAATCACCATTTTCAATGGGAAAATTCACTATAAATGGTGATTTTCCATTGTTATGTTAAATTACCAGAGGGTAAATGGCAACCAACAAATCCTATTGGAATAACTTGGTCCTATTGGAAAAATGATCATTTTTTTTAAAGGATCATCTCTGAAGTTGGCAAAGGGTTGCAAAAAAATACCCATCTGAGATGTTCTTCCCACGATATTCATCCCATGAATGTGGACAAGCTAATGCCATAAACTTACCATGACTGGGGATGGTAATCAAATTTGATCAACTCCCACCATTTGACCCGCTTCTGGAAGAGTTCGACGGGATCATCATCATCATCATCATCATCATCAGCCATAAAAATGGGGATTTATTGGGTATGGTTTATGGCACTTTATGATGAAACGATTGGATTTACCACATCAAAACTATATCAGTCGTGAACTCCCCCGTTGTGCCAGGCCGGGCCCCTGGCCTGTGACGGGACGCCCCGGAGGAAAAAAGTTCTCGTCGTTGACGTCGCTGGTCACTGCTTGGTTTCAGTTGCTTACTTAGTGTCTGTTGATAGTATTTAGATGTATTTAGTATTTAGTTGATTTAGTATCTTGATATCTTTTAGTTGATTGGATATGATATGTTTTTTTTTTTACCTGCCGATTTTGTCTCAGCAAAATCGGCAAACTTGGGCATTCACACTTCCAAGTACAGATCAACAATGTTGACAGACTTTATCATGCTTTATTTTCTTTATTGCATTTGCTTCTTGCTTGATCAATTCAGGTTCTTAATATATTTTTTTGTCCTAATCTTTTGGTCTTTGGTGGCTGCCCGTCAGTTCGCGGGTCCAGCTATTGTATCATTCCTCTCTACCACTCTACCAATCAACCACTCAACCACTCTACCACTCCATCCATCCACCCACCCACCCATCCATCCATCCATCCATCCATCCGCTTGCTTTTCAACCTCAGCGTTTGATACACTTCGCTGCAGCCCCTGGTTTGCCCGCCAGTCATTCTGCCATTGTTTGCATACTGCAGAAACTCAGAATTTTACCCGGGTTTTCTCGTACCAAATCACTGAAGGAAATTTCAAAACCTGTACCCTCAGACCCTGTAATCTCAAAAAGTCCAAACCCAAAACCCAAACTCAAAAACCTAAAACCTTACAGTTTCTGAAAGCTTGAGCCTGAAAAACAAAAGACATCAAAAAACCAAACAGAACACAGTGTTTTCCCCAGGAAATAGGCTTTTTCAGATATGTGGACAATCTTCATCGAATATTTATATCTTGGTATCGGGAGAACCAGGGAGTTGCGCACTCTGCGCATCCGTTTCCAGCTCAAGCCGCGACGAAAAGTGGTGGTTGGGCTCTTGGGAAACGGGGCTCGGGGAACCGGCCATTTTGGCCGCCAGGCGGGGTATTGGGGAAACTCCCAGTTTCGAGGCCAAAAAAAAAAACATCCAAGAATCCAAAAGCAATGGTGCCAACTGAACCTCATCTCAGCCAGTCGTTTGTTGGGAATTGTCTAGTTACTATAGTTGTAAGGAGCGAAAATGATCCTTAAGGTTTCGGCGATGTCTATGGTTGGAACTCCCATTTTCCATGTGGTTTTGCCATGGCATGGTAGGTTTGTCCCATCTCATTTCTAGGTGGTGTTTAGCCATACACTTACTCTCTGGTTATTTAACATAGCCATGGAAAATCACCATTTTTAATAGGTAAACCCCAGGTAAAGCATCTATTTCTATGGGCCATCTATACCATGGCAATGTTAGTCATAACCAGAGGGTGGACTCAGCCATAACTTTGGGGCCTTGGATCCCACAGCTGCTGGTGCCCCTCGGTGCCGCCCCAAAAAAGTCACTGGCCTCCAGGGGCGATGGCGAGGATCGCACCGTACTCAGAGGCTGGGTGAATTTTCCACGGTGTTTCTGCTGCTGTAAAGTCATGGCAGCAGATTTTCACAAGATGTCCTTAGTTTATGATATTTCTATGCGAGTTATGAGGCATTTAATATCATTTAATTACATGACACTGCCACATGATAGTGATATGGCACATGATACCATGATACTTACCATGATACTTACCATGATACCTATCGCAGATTGATACCTATATGATAGATATATGATACATGATACTTACCATTACAGTTGATCCCAATATGACAATGATGTATGATAGATATATGACACATGATCAGTGATAGTGATATATGACACTTACCATAGGATATATTACATGATGAATGATACTTCTACAGAAGATGTACCCTCTGGTAAACGTTTACATAACTATGGAAAATCACCATGCTATTAATGGGACAATCCACTATTTCTATAGCCATTTTCAATAGCTATGTCTATGTAACAAATTACCAGAGGGTATATTCCATTCATATTCCATTGAATCACTATAAAATCCCATTCATATCCCATTGAATCACTATAAAATCCCATTAAACCAGTATAAATCCCATTGAATCCCATTGAGGGTAGATGGTTGCGAACTCCACCGCTTGAAACGGGAGGATCAGCCACCGGCGCCCGCGCCGGCGAGCACGGCCAAGAAGACCGCCCGAATGCTGGGGCGACCCGGGGACCGGGGGGCCCACGGGAAAGTTCAAATAGCTGGGATGCCATAACATACACATATATATATATATTACATATATATATTACACACATATATATATATATGTATATATGTAACATTATATATATATGTAGAATCAACCAATCTATCTATCTACCTAGTCAATCTAATCAATATATCAATCAATCTATCTATATATCATATATATCAATACATCAATATATCAATATATACATAAATCTATAAATCTATCAATCAATATATCAATCAATCTATCTATATACCAATACCTATATATATATAAATAAGTCTATAAATCTGCAAATCATTCAATCACAATCAATCAATCTATCTAATCCAATCCAATCTAATCCAATCCAATCCAGTTTAATCTAATCTATCTATCAATATCCATACACGGTATTATTAAAGGTTTTAACCCATCCCCATATTATGATTCCACTGGCTAATTTATGATATTCCCAAAAAACATTACCATAAATCGATGGTTTTTGGCCCAATTCTCAGACACAGATGTGGTACGATGGCTGGGACCCATCTGACCATTGGTGATGAAAAACTTGGATCTGAAGCCATATGTTTTTGGCGCTAAATGAATAATTACATGAATTAAAAATGGGTTGCTGACGGGTTGGTTGACGGTAGCGGTTGGCGGTCGCGGGACCGTTTTCGATCCGAACGATGAACGCCAAATTTTCGGGACCCAGCTCTCAACATTCTCAACCAACCAAGGTTTGCGGATGAGAACTGACTGGGTATGGATCCATACCTACAGATACCATTTTTAGGGGGATGAACATCCATTTACCAGCTATTTTGATGATTTCACCAGGGGTACAAGGTTTTGACACACTGCCAACTGGGTTCTGGGTACTTAAATTGGGGAAGGCCCAATGACCGATGTCGTGATCATCTGGCTGCCACGAAGGTCGATGGCACCTCCCACTATGGAACCAGAAGGAAGTAGGCCCCGGTGCCTGGCTGAGATTGTCCATGGCTACCATCTCTTGGTTGAGGACTACGAGAAACTCGCGGTGCTTTTCAGCACCCTGGAAAGTTGAAAAAGTTGAAAAAGTTGATCCATGCCATTCCATAA